CCAATGGAGGTACGGGTCGATCTCGGCCTGCTGCGTGGGAGTGGTTGCACTTGGCGAAAGCCTGGCCAGTGATGGTCGGCCGGCGGCGACGGCTCCCGTTGGCGTCGCTATCCTCCTTGGATGCGTCGTGAGGAATCTTCACAGCCTCTACTCCCGGATCAAGTCCTTCGGGTGAAAGCCCAGATCCTACTGCAGGGTTGGGCGGTGGCGTCGTCTTCAACGCCGTTCCCCTCTTTAGGGCGTCGTCTTAGACTTTAATCTCTTTGGTGCTTCCTATGACTGGATGTGCACGGTGGCTTCTGTGGCAACGATGATGGCGGTGAGCAATATCGAAGGCGTGGCTTTGGCCGTGGTAGTCGGCTCTTCTTCTCCGGCATGTTCGTGGGATTGCCTCGATTGTCTATTGTTGTGAAGTCGAAGCCGTGTGGCGGGGCCTGGTGGTATACGACGACGCGCGACCGGTGGTTCGTTCGGTGGTCCTCCGTGACGCCAACCTTGCCTAGTTTCTTCGTAGTTTAACGTCGAAGTCGGAGCTGCGCTGTCTAGTGTGGATTGTATGGAGTGTTGTGTTGCAGCTATTAGGGCTAGTGTTTTTTCTTTTTCTTTGATCTTCGGGTCTTCTGGTCCTAAGACCTTCACCACCTTGTTGTTTTCTGTTGCTCTCTGCTATTATCAATGAATGTCGTCGATGCTGGATCTTTCAAAAAAAAAAATCTTCAATTCAATCACTTAGGGCTTATATGCTCACTTTGGAGCTGCTAAAAAAGGGGACAATGGTGGTGAAAAGAAGAGAATGGCGTAACTAGTTTAGTTGTTGGGTTTAGTGCTGGTAATAGCTGACATCGTGAATTTGTGCCTCCGGGGTCGGCGTAAATCTATGTTGAGCAATGCAAGTACTGCTGGAAGATGTAGGAAGATAAACACTCTGGTTTGCCTTGTGCTACGCTGCATTTGGCTGGAACAAAACAGCCGTGTTTTTGACAAGGTAGCAACTATGCCTTGCATGGTTACACGTCGCATACATGATGATTTCAAATTGTCGATTGCTTGCCTCCTGGCGGAGGATGTTTCTTCAGGCAAAATGAAGAAGGTGAAGAAGGCTATCAGGAGCATAGGCAAGAAGAGTGACGCCATTAGGAAGGCGTCCGCGACTGCTTAATGGAGGATGCTCAGTCTCTTCGTCATCCATCTCCAATTGACTCGCCTCTGTGAATTTGGTGGCGTTTGGTGGTTTCGTTGACGGTTTCGTTGCGACGTCGATCCGTGAGGGTTTGTGGTTGCATGTTATGTATGTTTGTCGGGTTGATCGTGGTGTCATGGAGTTTCTTTCTTAGCGAGTAGTCTGTATGTGGTTATATGTATCTGTTTTCGCCCGGTTTTTCGTTAATTAACTGGGCAATTCTCTTCTTCTTAATTAATCGATGAGGCAAATATTTTGCCTCCGTTTTGAAAAAAATGATTTCAAATTGTGGATGAGAGCTAAGATAGGTGGGATAGCGAGAGATGTAACTTAAGTTCTGCTTCTCTGTGGTTGCACTGACTATCAGTGCCTTGTAACATTTATAAACTCTTCTCTCTTATTAATACAGAAAGCGCGCAAGTCTTTTGCGTGTGCTTGAAAAAAAATAGGTGTGGAGTAGTAGAAGTTATTGAGGAATTTCAGTTAGCTTGCTATATATGCTACGGGTACATTGGGGGTTCAACGCTTGTTCCGTCACCGTTGAGCTTGTTTAGGCTCTGACACTAATCAAGGCTAGGTCGGGCTTAGTCCAGCTGATGGATAGACATGCGCGCGATGTTTTTGCAACAAGAGGAGAATTCACCCAGAGTTTTGCATGGCAATGGATGGAGCCACAAATTAAGGGCGTTCCGGGGAGAGTGGCGTTGGTGGTCGGTCACCCCCGTTTCTCCACACTTGGCTCCTCCTGCTACTGCTTTCCCCTCCACCCAATAAAAAGAACAAGGGACGAGGAGATGCATGCCCCATTGCTTCTTGTTGGGAAATAGAAAGGGTTCCGGTAGATCCATTTCAAAGACTTTTATTTCATAATCCATCGCTACGTCTCCAAGCAAAGCGCGCACAAAGCTCGACATCGATCTGCAGCCGCGCTGGTGCACGTCTATATATCTAATCTATCTTGCTGCCTGCCGGAACGAGGCACCCTTCTCGCTCGCCGTCGAATGCGAGCGCCGGCCAGCACCGGAGCCGCCGATCCGGCGATTCATCGTGCCCGGTCATTGAGGTGCGTCGCCGTTCCAGGACATTTCATGTCGTTTCTTCACATTTGTCCGATCGTGCACGTTTAACTCTTGTTTCTTCACATGATAAGCCAGGCCTAGCGCATGAGCTAGCTGGAACAGGAGCTAGGAAAGGGAAGATGCCGTTGTTTGATCGAGATCGCTACCAGAGGCTGCCGCTGGACGTCGGCGGCGGTGGCGCCCGGCGGCCCACGTCGTCCTGCGCCACGGCCACCGTCGTCCTCTTCGTGGGGCTCTGCCTCGTCGCCGCGTGGATGATGGCGCCCACGAGCAACGTCCCGATGGGCGTCTCACCGGACAAGGCCGGGGAGGACACGGACGTCGGCTTGACCCGCAGCGTCGTCAAGGGTGGCGACGCCGACATGACGCCGGCAACAGACAAGGCCGCCAAGGAGGACAAAGACGGCGGTCCGGCCGTGCAAACGACGGAGGTCGACCAGAGCGCAGAGGCGACGGATGCCGATGCCAACAGCACCACCGCAGGCAAGCCTGACGGCGACACCGTAGCCGGGGCCGAGTCGCCGTCCAAGAACCTCGCATTCTCTCACGACAGCGGCATGACGGAAGGTGGGGGTGTGGCCAAGCCGGAGGAAGACCCCGACAAGAATGTCCAGAATAACACGGAGGAGGCCACGACCGACAAGGGCGCCGAGGATGCGTCGACAGACACGAACTAGAGCGGCGGCAACACCGCCGAACAGAACACGAAGGAGGCGACGACCGACAAGAGCGCCGAGGATGCGTCGACAGGCACGAACCAGAGCGGCGGCAACAACGCCGAGCAGAACACGGAGGAGGCGACAACCGACAAGAGCGCTGAGGATGCGTCAACAGGCACAAACCAGAGCGGCGGCAACAACGCCGAGCAGAACACGGAGGAGGCACCTAGAGACACGACGGACACCGGTGACCAGATTGATAAAAGCTCCGACACTACGGAGACCGGTGGCCAGGGCGAGAAGAACGTCGAGGCGGCGCCCACCGAGAAGAAGGGTGAGACAGAAGATAACATCACAAACAAGAACGCCGAAGAGACGCCGGCCTATGCCAAAGAAGCTGGCGACGACGGCACGGAGAAGAACCAGACAGCCTTCGACGACCGGACCGGCGACGATGCGGCCACCGGCGCTGCATCCAAGAACCAAACGTTCGTCGACAAGGACACGCCCAGGAACCAGACATCTACAACTGTTGAGGACACACTCTCTGAAGAAGACGGGATGGTTCTAACGAACAGTAGCACCATCACCCAAGGCGAAGAAGAGAGGCCAGTGACGGAGCCGGTGACCGGCGGCGACACAGAAACGGCAGAGCTGCTGCCGAGCGGGCAGGCAGAGCTGCTCAACGAGACGACGACGGCTGAGCAGGACGTCACGTTCCCGACACAGGCGACGGAGTCGAGTGAGGAGAAGGCGCGGAACAGCAGGAACAAGGAGCACAAGAACAAAGGCAACTTGGTGGTCGTCGTCGGCGAGTCGTCGACGGAGGAGGCCTCGAACGTTTGGAAGCTGTGCAACACGAGCGCCGGCGCGGACTACATCCCGTGCCTGGACAACGAGGCGGCCATCAAGGGGCTCAAGAGCAACAAGCACTACGAGCACCGCGAGCGGCACTGCCCGTCCCCAGCGCCGTCATGCCTGGTGCCGCTGCCGGAGGGCTACCGGCAGCCGATCCCGTGGCCGGAAAGCCGCGAGAGGATCTGGTACCACAACGTGCCGCACACCAAGCTGGCGCTGTACAAGGGGCACCAAAACTGGGTGAAGGTCTCCGACGACGGCGAGCACCTGGTGTTCCCGGGCGGCGGCACGCAGTTCCTGAATGGCGCGTCGCACTACATCGACGTGATCCAGGAGGCGCTCCCGGCGGTGGCGTGGGGGACGCGCAGCCGCGTGGCCCTTGACGTAGGCTGCGGCGTGGCAAGCTTTGGCGGGTACCTGTTCGACAAGGACGTGCTGAGCATGTCGTTCGCGCCCAAGGACGAGCACGAGGCGCAGGTGCAGTTCGCGCTGGAGCGCGGGATCCCGGCCATCTCGGCCGTGATGGGCACGAAGCGGCTCCCCTTCCCCGGCGGCGCGTACGACGTGGTGCACTGCGCGCGGTGCCGCGTGCCGTGGCACATCGAGGGAGGCAAGCTGCTGCTGGAGGCGAACCGGCTGCTCCGGGCCGGAGGGCTGTTCGTGTGGTCAGCGACGCCGGTGTACCGGAAGGACGCGGAGAACGTGGGGATCTGGCAGGCCATGGTTGCACTGACCAAGTCCATGTGCTGGGAGATGGTGACGAGGACGAGCGACACGGTGGACCAGACCGCCATGGTCATCTTCAAGAAGCCGTCCAGCAACGAGTGCTACAGCAAGAGGAGCGGGGCGGAGCCGCCGCTGTGCGAGGAGTCGGATGACCCCAACGCCGCATGGTACCAATCAAGGCCGCATACGCACTGGCTCTTGTTGAATCGCTTGCCTCCCCTGATGCTTGTTGCACTGTAATTGCATGGCAGGAACGTAACGCTGCAGGCGTGCATGCACAGAGTGGCCACCGAGCCAGCGGCGCGGGGCTCGCGGTGGCCGGAGCAGTGGCCGGAGAGGCTGACGGCGGCGCCCTACTGGCTGAACGAGAGCCAGGTGGGCGTGTACGGCAAGCCCGCGGCGGATGACCTGGCGGCAGACACGGAGCACTGGAGGGAGGCGGTCAACAGCTCGTACCTGAGCGGCATGGGCATCGAGTGGAAGAACGTGAGGAACGTCATCGACATGCGATCCGTCTACGGCGGGTAAGCCCTTTCCTTTCCTTTCCTTTCCTTTCCTTTCCTTTCCTTGTGTGTTGAAGTTGAAGGAGGAGCATGCATGACATGGACATGGACATGGCTTGATCGATCAGGTTGGCGGCGGCGCTGCGCGACATGAAGGTGTGGGTGATGAACATCGTGCCGGTGGAGTCGCCGGACACGCTGCCCATCATCTACGAGCGCGGGCTGCTGGGGATGTACCACGACTGGTGCGAGTCCCTGAGCACGTACCCGAGGTCGTACGATCTCGTCCACGCCGACCATCTCTTCTCCAAGCTCAAGTACAGGTGCAAGGTGAGGCTGGTGATGGCGGAGGTGGACCGGATCCTCAGGCCAGAGGGGAAGATGATCCTCCGTGACGACAGGGAGACGGCCGAGGAGGTGGAGAGGATCGCCAAATCTCTGCATTGGGAGGTCCGGATGGCCGTGTCAAACGAGGGGGAGAGGCTGCTCTGCTTCCACAAGACCATGTGGCGACCAACCCAAGTCCAACCACTCGGCTAGGAAGTAGGAACACTACTACTACTACTACTACTACTACTACTACACTTTGCAAACACACCAGTATGGCAGCAATAACGAAAATAATCCTAGGATTCTTCTTCTTCACAAGTTTTGTACTTGCTTGTACGACAAGGAAACAGTTAAGAACATTATCATGTCAACAACCAGACTTGTATGGTAAAATATTTCACTAATGGCACTACAAAGTATCAACTCCCAAGAACATCTCCTTCCTTCAGGCAACAGTACTATATGAACGCAAAAAACTGAAGCAAACATCGGCTAAAGCACTTGCAATAACAGGGACTGACTGACTGACTCTTTGTTTCTCAATCATCAACGCATTATGCTAGTACGTAAATCCATTCCACAGGAAAATTGCATCACACCCCAGTGCCATAATATCGAGCTAGTATCTAACAAAATCTTACACAGCAAAGAAGAGCCTTCCAGACTCTGCCTAACATTAGAGTTTACCGCAGAGACATCATAAAACACTCAAAAGGCATGGTATCAATGCTTAATATTAGAGTTTACCATCATTACAGACCACTCAAAGGCTGCTTGGTTGGCTGCCTGGCTGGCCCTCTAGAATCTTGCACATTGCATGTTATCGTCACCGCCCTTCCGTCCATAAGGATTTGCGGCATTGATACCATGCCTCCTCGCCCCACCATCCACTTTCCTTGTCTTCCGACGTTTAGAAGCGCTGCTCTCCAAGTCGAGGTTCACTTTTGGAGGGTTCTTAAAACAGAATGACGCTGCTACAGCCTGCCGCCACATAACAAGCAATTAGATATGTCATCCATTTTCCTGCCAAGTCCAAAACTCTAGCCATACACACAATTAACTCACTTAATGCTCATCAAACATCGACATTTATACAAGGTGACAACAACAAATATCAGCTACTTCCCAGCTCACTAACTTCTAAACAAAGCCAACGAAAAGAGATTCTGAAAGTGCCAAAGGTGGACAAAATAAAGCAAAATGTCACTAGCACAGAGAGGATAAGGAAGACTACTGCAGAGGTGCCTCTACTCGACAGCTGAAATATTTGGGAAATGCAATGACAGCAAGACAAATTTCCTCCCACATACTAACACGCGCAGTGGACTGTAAAGCAAAACGAAAACATACTCCCTCCGTCCGGAAGCTGAAATGGATGTATCTAGATGTATTTTAGTTCTAGATACACCCATTTCTGCGACAAGTAATTCCGGATGGAGTAGTATACAAGTAAGAACTGGTGGTGCACATGAACCAAATACCGAGTCTTCAGAAAGAACTTGACACCAATTATACCTTCATATCAAGATCATGAACATTAAAAATGTCCTTCATGGCGTGTGAGTTGTATGCCAAGATGTAGGATCTGTAGGCTTCTTTAGCTGACTGGTTTAGGAAGTAATTCTCGCCAACGATGTTCTCCTGCCCAACAACTCAGTTAAAAATTCTGGGCATACTTATAAAAAATGGATTGAAATAATTCAATTATCACAAAAGATGCACTTACAAGGTGTGATTGTAAATTTGGCACATTCTTATTATTGAACTCGTATTCTGTGAGAGAAATCTTCGCTGCCTGCAGACACCATTACATATGTAGTTTCGGTTAGCTGTAGAGAGACGGGCAGACAGAGAGATCATTAAAATTTATTACCTTCAGGTAAATAAGAAACTTCAGTTCTTGCGGCAACAAGAACAATAAGGCGCTTCCTTTGCCTTTTTCACCACGTGCAGTACGACCAACTCTGTGAATGTAATCCTAAAAGTCAAATTTGAATTGGTCAGTACAGTAAAAAGATAAGAGTAGAAAATGTAACTACAACAGGTAACATCACAAACCTTTGGTTCATCTGGAGGGTCATATTGCACAATATAATCCTAAACAAGGGCAATATCATTCAGTTATCAAGGAAAAGAAGAATTCATTGCACTGGTTTCAATAAAATGTTAGTCAAAAACCTCACCACATCAGGAATATCAAGTCCACGTGCTGCCACATTAGTGCATAATAAGATGCCCTTTTCTGCCTTGCAGAAGTTAAAGAATGTTGTAGTTCGTTTCTGCTGTTTTTGTTTCCCATGGATATCTTCACACTCTATCTGGAGAAAATTTAGAAGCTCTGCATGGAACTTTACTGAGCTACATGATGAAAAGAACACCATGACCTTCTTAGACTGTTTCTTTTTTAGGAAAGCATACAGAACCAAAAACCTCTTGTCGCTAGGAATGACACAATAGCCCTGCTGTAAGCCTTCCACGGTAGCCTGTAGGAGCATCATTGTTATTTTTACTATAAAAGTCCTCAATATAGAGAGATGAATTGTGTGGCATATCATTTTCTTACATTTGATTTACCATCATCAACTGAGATATAAACAGGTTTTTCTTTCCTTTCTTCGTTTTTCTCAAATGACAACTTGGCAAAATCTTCAACCTGTGGATTAAAAATACCAGTAAATTCATGGAGACAGAAAAACATCAATAATCAACTTAAAAGTTGGGACTTCAGGACAAATCCACAAACCTCTTTAGTTTGTGTTGCAGAAAAAAGAACTGTCTGCCGATTCTGTGCATCGTTTATGGTGAATAAAAAGGAATAATGGTTAAATGTCAATAAAGTTGATAAACCGTAGTATGTATATCAAGTGAGAATTATTAGACAGCCATATGAAAATATACCTGGGGAAGGCGTTTAAATATTTGTTTCATATCTTCCTCAAAGTTCTGCTCAAGAATGCGATCAGCTTCATCAATTATAAGACACTACAAAAAATAATGACAAATTAAGAGAGAAAGGGGTCAGGCTCTGCAATGATCACATAGCAATGGCACAACAAATCAAGCAGGCAAGCATTGCATATGCTTAAATTAGCAGTCCACATTGCTAAAGTAAACAGCTGGCCTTGGACATAATCTTGTTGGTATGAGTTCCGCCTTCCAAGAAAACTGTGTTCCCCTGCTGCGCGTTACAGTTAGGTCCAAACGTCAAGTGTTTGGCGTAGGTTCTGAAGACACACTCTCCTCTTAAGAGTCAGCCTCCATACATTGGACATTCCGGCCTCTAATCCAAAAACCTTAGCATCACCTCAGGCTTGGAGGCAGACTCTATGTAATAAAATAACCAAGCAATCCCAGCTGTCAGGTTGAGAAGGTTGGCAGACTTGGAGAATTATGCACAGGCTGAGAAGTATGTACTCCCTCTGTCCCATAATTTAAGACGTTTTTGCAAGCTAAAACAGCTTGCAAAAACATCTTATATTAGGGGACAGAGGGAGTATTTTTTAATCATTTGGGTTCATCTAAGAGGTGACCTCAGCCTCTATACATTGTGTGTGTTTTCACAAAGCTTAGAGGTAGTAAGCAGGGCCTGGTATAAAGGCAATGCTACCTCTAAACACTGCAAGTGCCATTATGCAAATCAGGGAGGTGCCGGGGCCCTTCATCACGTTGCATCAGAGCTGACCATCTCCTTGCATTGCCTCGACAATATAACCTACTGTTATGATGCTCAACTAAATACCTTTATTGGCTGGCTATGGTCTTGATACCAACATGGATATACTCTTAAGAATAAAGATACCCACTTAATTTCTACTGAGCTATAATAGCCTAATACACTAGCTTATAGGTTCTTAATTCAAAGATTGAAACTACTAAACTGATGGGGAACATATAGCATATATGATCTACTTACTCAAATGTATGTCCTGTAACTTTGGTTGAGATAGCTATTCTGCCCTATCTAAATTATCTTCACCACTCTCTCTCTCTACGCTTATATTGGCAAGAACAGATATTTGACACTTGTTATTTAGCTCCTTTATTTAAGTATTTATTTTCCTAATGCAAAATAATCCTATATTAAGCTAGCCAGCATGGCTCCTCTCATAAAAATAATAATTGGTCTTTGGCCTCCTACTTTCTACTCCCTCTCCTCTACCAGACTGCTACTTTGGTACTAGCTGCACCTGTTTGTGTTTTATCTCTCTAAGGGAGTCTGCTTTTGACATTCAGCAAGGCGTGGTCCACAGATCCTGACTCTTTCTCTTCCTTGATGAGTAGCAACTTGTGTGCAGCTAGTTTAGTCCAGATTTTGATTTATATTTTCAATTTCTTTTTGTATGGACAATGCATGTGGTGTTTAGAAGATGACTCTGTAAACTTCATAGAAGATGCTATTTTTCCAGAGTGATGCATACACAACACAACCTAACTAAGGCATCTTAGGCCCTGTTCGGAATCTATCCGCTCCCCGGAGTTGTGGAGCTCGGTTTTGACAGCTCCGTCAAAGTGAGCTGCAATCTCATCCGCTCCGGGAGCGGAGTTAGAGGAGCGAAGAGAAACCGAACACTCCCTTAATAGAATAAGACATGCCTAATCATAATGGTTAGTAGTTTCTGAATTCTTAACTTTGTTTATTTGATACATGGAGGATGAATACAGGTCTCTTCTTCCTTCAGGCCAGTCTAGCTTATTATGTTATCTCTTCAGTAGATATATTGCTCATCTACTTTTAGTACTGATACCGTTTCTCTTTCCAATTTATGTGTCAGTTATGCAACCAGCTTCAGCAGCTCTGTGAGGCACATCTTGCAGGCACGACAGGCGTGCACATGCAATGGAAAAAATGAAAATCATATGTTAACTAGTCAGTTCAGAATTTGGGAATGGTGACCCCAAAGTGCACAACCAAAACAGATAATGCAAATTTCAAATGACCTTACATACGTTGATATGTGGTGTTAAAAAAAACATGTTACTCCATTGGGGGTCACCATTGGTCTTCGGCCTCCTACTATCTAGACAAATCAAAGACAAGTAATATGGATCGGAGGGAGTACTTTAGATGAGATTAATGTTATAACAATGTGCATTGATTTTTCTGTGGCATATACATTCCTGGATTTAATGTTTAACCAAAGAAAGAGATGGGATTTTTAGGTCATGCATGAACAGAAGACATGCACACGATGATGAATTATAGATTTTCT